CAGGAGACGATTTCTTGCAGAATTCTTATTATATAGGATTCCTAAGTTGAATGATTTCCCGCAGAATTCCTACTACGTAAGATTTCTAACCTAAATTTTATCTTTAAGACTGAAATGAGCATAAAGTCCAACCTGGCTCCATTAGTTTTCACATGCGATGAAATTGTTCGAAGACGAGGTTCACCTTGTTCTGGGCTTAGCATATTTAGTGCGATGTGATTCTCATGAGTCGAAAAGCCCAAATCTTCATCGTTCTGCAAAACCATATTAACCATCAGGTTCCTCTAAGATTTGGACTCGATTTTGACTCATTTTCTCAATTTGTCACAAACATAATAAACGATGCTATCGTGTTAGGATTTCAACAGAACGTCATTGTAGATGATCGCCGAACGGAAATTTATTTAATCTTTGTTTTAATTTTTTCACTAAGAGACGTAACATCCATCCGTATGCTTAAATTTGTTGACGTCCACTTCAAAAATCAGTGGTGTCGGATCTTCGAATGTGTTTGCTATTCGATAAATATTCGCTGAATTATTGATCACAGAGTATGTTCGGCATAATTGAGCTGCATCACGAATTTCGTTCCCAGAAGTTCCATTTACTGAACTAAGAAAACTGCCAACGTTATTTTGTTGGCGACTATGTACGGTTAAAATTATGTATATTTTGATAAACACACATAAACACAGATACACGGATGTGAAGACACACGCGCACACACACATACACACGCGTACACGTACATACACCAGTGATCGGATTAAGCAGATAGCAGTAGATTGATCTTGATGCACTCATTTTTTTGTGTGAAATGGTCGCAAGAAAAGCGTGTAAACAGAAAGATTTACTAGAACAGCAAATCGAGCTGATCGTCGTTGATCTTAGTTGAGAAAAATTAGCACGTTTTAAAGATACTGCTTATTTCTGTTTTTCAAAGAGAAAACAAAATCCACATAACTACACGCCACACTATTTACCTTGAATTTTCTTGTTTTCGATGAGACCGCCTGTAATAGTAGAAAGAAAGCATTGAAATATATAACAAGGAAATGAGAAGATGCTTTACGAAGCACTGGTGTTCATAATGTGCCTGAATTTATGATTCTATTACAAGGTACCTAACGTTTCGGTAGTTCGATCTTAGAAAGTTTATAGCGAAGCATTAGACCCAAGGTGGTGCAGGGATTAGACACGCCCTTTAGTACAACATAGATCTGTCGCTTTTTTGATCGCAAGTGAGTGTATACCTAACCTTTTATCACTGCATGGTCGGGAAACTGGTACCGGACATGCATGGGAGGATAAAAACACTGACTCGGGACATTGGTGGCCCACTGTAACTCATTATAAGTTATTTATCAGGTTTTAAATGCATTCAATCACGCGTGCGATGATTGAGAAAGTAGAATTTGGGTGCGCCCTTCAGCACTGACTAGCGCTGAACACACTATCTAATATTCTCTATCCTTTGAGTTGAGCTTCTGATTAAAATTTTCATCATACTCGAAGTTTGGGCAGTTTGATCAAATAGTCTGGAACAGTTCGCTTGTATGAAAATGGTTAGAAGTGTTCTAAAATAGAAACATGGTCCATGGTTCGATGAAGTAATGAGCTTTATTCGAATCCGCGTTCTCTCAACTTGATAAGTGAGCATAAAAACATTGACTTAGGATATCGGTAGACCCCGTAAATCATTGTACATACCAAATATGCATCCATTCACCTCTACGATGTTTATTGTAGTCGATGGCTTATGGGGTATTCCTCAAAGACTACATCAACGCTGAGAGTTTAATCCCTTATCATTTCACGTAGAATATTTTGCCGAATAGGCTGCGCCGTGCATCATTATTACCACTTTAACCGTTGAACAAAAGTTTGATAATCGCTATTCCATTAATAGAACGAGTGTCGTAACCCTAGAAAGAGATTTCAACCTAAAACATTTGTCAATAGGACCACGTTGAACAAGTGAATAACGATACGCCCACTGCCTCAGACTTTTCTATTCTACAGATGACAACAGTAAAGACATCAATGAACCGTGTAGAGGAAAATATGGCAACGAAATGTGATAGTACTTATGAGGGAGAAGGGGTATTTGTAAGAACTGACAGTGGAACAGTGAACAGTAAGAGCAGAGGGAATAGTAACACTGGTGAAGTATAGTCGTGTCGTGATTAGGACGATTTCCAGGCGATTTAAAAATTTAAGAATCCTCATCGCTCGCTTTCTGTTAACAGTAGCACCCTCTGAACTCATTAGTGGCTACGCATCTTCTCAATGCTTCCTACAAAAATGATTGGTATAAGCAGTAGTTGTTAACGAGAACACTTACTTAGTACAATACTGGCTGACGTTCGGTTTCGTCTTCTTCAGAGCATGGAAAACTCGAATTGGCACACAATTTTCTCAGCCGAACACTTTCGTAACCTTATCAGATAGGACTCAATGCATAAAATTCATTCGAGTAATAAATACCTTCTTTTGAACGCTTGACGTTTTGTTGTTCTTAAGTTCTTCAGTTATTACTACAGACCAGGTGCGGTGAGTCTTACATTGGTGAGGAATGTCCGCCGCCCAGGTCGGAAAAAATTAGTCTCAGGTATTATCAGGTATTACAGGTATGTGGTAGTGGTCAAGAGTTATTAGCGTAGGTGATCTAGATTTCCATGCGAGGACATCTACTTTTCTTTCAAAATCTTTTCCGTTGTGTTTTCGTGTCCTATGCGAGGGTCTTGGAGCGTTTTGTTTGATTTTAAGTTTTCCAACTAGGTGCTCTTAAAAAGGGCTTTCGATGACCCTCTGCGGCTGGTTCCCATTAAACAACTGGAATACTTAAAAAAAAAAACTCTAAGGGCTTAAGGAAAGCTGTTTACCACGCGAATTTTGCAGAAAAAGAGAAATCCACTGAAATGTTAGCAGATATGAAAAATACTATGTAACAACAACCTTGTGTGTGCCTTTCAAGAAAAATAGCGAATTATTTATCAGTGACAAGGTTAACAGAGAATCGGTCCTGGAAAATACTTATTAGGTAATAAATTTTTGTAGGCAACTCTTGTTTATGTGAGCATCTTTGCCTAAACATGAATGTGTGTCGGAAATTCTCAGGTAGAACAAAGGAGATCATCCGAACCTAAAGTGACAGTGGTTTTTGCTTCTACATACACGTGGACTCAACGGATTACTCCAGAGACAATGAATGATTGAGTTGAGTTACGGTCTATCTGATCGTTTCTAAAGCATGCCCGACGAATACAATGACGACTAGAACACTGTGCATCTGTATGAAAGAACAGCTAGTCGCTAAACTTAGAGTTACATCAAATATTGCGCGAGGCTCGCATGGGACACGGAAAGATAACGGAAAAGATTTCGAAGTAAAAGCCACCATCCTCGCACGGGAATCTAAGACTTCAGTGAAATCCTAAAAGCATTCTTGATAATTTTCAAGAGTTCAAAAATGAACTGCGAAGAGGAATGACTTGTTACCACGCGTAATCTCGTGTAATATCTGAGAATGATTTTTTTATCATGAGAGAGGAGCATTATCCATGCATATAAACTCTGTACGGTTGGTGTCCTCGTGAACGACTCAGTGGAAGAGTTACAGAACGCGACGAGTGCATGAAAGAGCTATTTTGTTTCTAATCCGATTGAAATTTAGGTGCCTGGTGTTTTTTTGAGGTTATGGTGGTATCTGGCTGACTAAGTTCCAGGTAACTTCACCTTTCCACGCACAGAAAAAGTTGAAATCCGCCAAAACACAGCTTTTATAGATATGCATATGGAATAGTGACTAACTCGTATGTGCTTATCATGAAAATAGAGAATTATTTGTTAACGTTGAAGTTAATAGAACCGGTCCTAAAAATTACTGTTTAGCACTTCGCAACTGAACACTGGCTTGTTGGTGAAGTATTGTTATTCATTTCTGACTTAGTCCATAAAGGGGTCCATCACGTTCTGTAATAAACTTACCAACCACAGCCTCAGGTGGAAAGATTACAGCCAGTTTTAGCAATTATTTAGTATATAGTATAGGGCACGTATGGAAAATGGTTGGAGGAGCCACTGCGACACACACGTGGAATCAATTCCCGCGCCCATGGCCCAACAAGCCTTCCATCCCTTCGAGGTCGGCAAATTGGTACCGGATAGTAGCACTGGCTCGATACATCGGTAGATCACCGCGAGTCATTGTAAAGATTAGATATGCATTCAGTCACCTCCAACGATACTTAGTGAAGTCGAATGCATGGCGCATCCCTCAGGGATTGATCAACGCCGAAAGCTTCATCCTTTTATTTATCCTTTTAAGGTAAATTTTAACTTATTATTTACTGCCTACTCTTTTTAATGGTAGGGTATATTTTGCGAAATATAACTAGTGATGCTGAAATATTTGCAAAACTCCGGACCGTAGGTATCTGCGATGGGGAACGAACGCGCTATTGTCCTTTCCGGTGAGTACGAGTAATTGCTCATGGCAAAACATCGATAGGACTAGCTGAAAGACAGGCGAAACGAAGGACCTGCATGGTGTGGTGGTGAACGCGTTACTCCCTGGAAAGAACAATAGATCGTTCGTTTGCCACCGCAGACACTTTTTAAGGCAGTTAATCCTGCCAACGGTCTACCGTCTCATCCTAGCTAGGAGGTGTTTCTGGGTGTCGGGCTACGATGGACAGCCGGTGGATTCATCCCTCTAGAGCCTACGTCTCCCATGCTGAGAAGGAGTCCAGCGTTTCCACCAAGAGTTCAGCTAAGAGTAAACCAATGCAAGGATCCACCACTATCCTGGTATCAAACTGGTCTAGTGGCAAACATCCCTCTAATCAACAATGGCGGCGACTGGTTGTGGTGGCGACGACCTGTGGCAGACTTTGGTCAGGCTGACCTTGGGCCTCCAAGAAACCACAATGGCTAAATTAACGTAACTCCGAAAAAATAAACATTATGCTAGGGTCCGTACAATCAGTGAGGAAGGGCTAACCAAAAATCCAAGTAAGTAAGTATACTAGTTTATAAATGAAAAGGGCACTTACCAGATCATCGATGTCCCTGGACGCACCGAAAAGCGTTGAGAGCGCGGTGTCGACGATCAGCGACGGTTGTGGTTCACATCTTATCAGCTCTTGATTTTTTGCGAAATGACAAATTGTGAATTCAATCATCACGCCGAACACAAATGCCTAAACACAACGAAAGTAGGACTGTTTTTACAACAAAAAAGAGCACTACAGAACACTTTGTGCGAAAAAAAACACTCCTTCATAGATGTTAGCTTTTTATTTACTGCCTATTGCTATTTTCCACCAGGGTATGATGTGAAATTCAGCCACTATTATGCTTTCATTGATTCTAAAGAGTTTCACGATGCAACGTCTGATTGGAGCAGGCGTGGCGCAGTGGTCGGAGGCGCCCCGCAATTCACACATGAGATCGATCCTGGCTCACTTACCCTTCCATCCCTCCAGGTAGGAAAATTGGTAGCAGACCTGTATGGGAGAGTAGCAGCACTGGCTCGATACAATCGCAAGTCATTGTAAAGGCCAGACATGGATTCAACCACCTCCAAACGATGCTTAATGAAGTCGAATGCACGGCGCATCCTTCATTGATTGATCAACGCGGAGAGCTCTATCCTTTTATTATTTAATGCTTGGTACTAATCGCAGATACTCATATGAGGCACTGGAAATTTCATTTAATGTCCAAGCTCCTACGTGAAAATCTTATGTTACAGTAATTGTAGAAGAGCGTATAGCCCAGTGGTTAGAGGCACCCTGCAATGTACACGATTCTCAATGTCACCACCTGTGCTGACAAAGCACCCTGTCTCTCTGGAATTGGTAAATTTACACCTTATAATGCTTATAAGGGTATGAAACACTGAGTTTAAGGATTCGTCGGCCATTATGAGTTATTATATAGGCTAAACCCTCCCAACGATTTACTACCTCATCGTGGTTGCGAAGCGTTCTTGGTTGTCGAGCTACGATATACAGAGGAGAGATACTTCTCCCCAATAAGATCTGCAAACTGAGAAAGAGCCCGACGTTTCCGTCAGAGAGTCCAGCTAGGAGTAAATCAATACTAGGATTCACAACTGTCATGGAATTAAACTGGTTGCATGATGGCAAATCTTCCTCGGATCCACAAGGGTAGCGCATGCCTGTGGTGGTGACGACCTGTGGAAGACTTAGGCCTGACTGACCTCGGAACTCCAGAAAACCACACTAACTAAATCAGTAAAACTCCGAGTTTGCTGTGGTCCGCACAACCAATGAAGACGGGTCATCCGAGTATTCAAGTAATTATATAAGCTAAACACGGATTCATTCACTTCTATGACGCTTATATAGAACCGATGCCTCATGGCCATCCTATTTTTCCAGCCTTTTGCTGTGATTATTGATATTTGGAATCGGAACAGCGAAGTTTACACTACGTGCTATCGTATCGAACGCATTCACGAAAGACTGAGATTGTCGAACCACGACAAGCGGCAACAGCGCAGTCACAGTCACATCGCGATTGTAGTCAATAATTGTCGCGATATGTCGCCACTGAGTTTCAACATCGTCGGAATGAGGTGGTTTTGTTTTTTAAAGAGTAGGAAAGACAACAGTTAACTAACCATACACGAGCCCATCCATACGTCTATAGCCTTCATGTACGAAACTGAAAACGGCTTCAGTGAAGCTAACTTCAACACTGATTGTCGAAAATATGGAGAAAATACCTTCTGGTAACGCCAACTTGACGGCGTTTGCTTGTGTTGAGATCGTCAACAACGTTGTAATACTGAGCGACACGCGGGCCGGTGCCGAGTCAATGTCAAGCCAGAAATTAAACCTAAACGAAAGTCGTAGATTAGAATCGATTTCGCAGCTCCAGAAATCAATGTTATTGATCGACCTATCGATCTGCCGCACATTTTCTTTTCACTGACGCTATTGATCTAATGAAATCATTCACTATATTTTTCGTTGCTGCGGTTTTTTGTATTCGAGGCATCAGTCGTTCAACAATAGTAAACAGTGGTAAAGTGTTAAATGTGGCGATCAATACCTATTGAAAACGTACCATGATATCACAACAATGAGAGCTGTTGGTAGATATGTTTGTATGACATGATGCATCATTTCACGTTCAACATAGAATACAGCTGTCATACAACTCCATACACCTATATAAATACATGAATAAAAAATATAGAAAAAATGTAGGTGTAAAATATAAAATATAAGATAGGGAAAAGCAAAATAAACAATAATTACACAAAAATGGATTTACGGTGGGTTTTTGTGTTGAAAATGAAATCAGACACAATAAATATGGCATTTGTGTAGTATTATTAAAAAAACAATGTAATAAAAAAAGAAAAAACGAATAAGCTCGTTAAAGAATCATAGTTCGTTAAAGAATCAGCGGACAGCACAGTGGTAGTGATGTCGATCATCACAAGCATGGTGCTAGTTCGATTCCGTTGTGGCCAGGCAAGCCTCTCATCCATCTGAGGTCGGAAAATTGGTACCGGACTTGTATGGGAAGAAAATCATTCTTTGCTATCCAACTGAGAACGCTCCACCCCGGCTATCTCAGGTCTCCAAGGAGTATCCACTCGACCAGCATTCTACGACATTTAAGATGAAATGAAAATCTTTAAGCAGTAGCTGAAGCCACACGTAAAAGTTGGATCTTCGTGGTTAATGGATGCGAGGACACGAACCGAATTCGAAAAGTGTTGGGATCCTCACAGTAGAGGTGGAGAAGGGTCATATAAAAATATGAAAACTAGAAAAAGAATCATAAAGGAGATGTCCATACTTTTGATGGACAACTCTTCCAACATTGTTAGTTAATAACTTAATAATTCCCAAGTTCAATCGTAACCGCTTTATTTGCTGCCTCTATTCTTTTTAATGACAGGGTATATTGCGAAATATAACTTCAATGATGCTGAGATGTTTGCAAAACTCAGAACCGCAGGTGTCTGCAGATAATAGGCAGTGAATAGAGCGGTTAAGATTGTGATTATAACTATAGCCTCAGCTTAACTGGGTTCAATGCGGATTTGGGCTCCCTAGATCAATCCCGTTGACGGGTGTTTGCTGATGGCACTGATCGATAGAGCTAGCTGTGAGACAGGCGGAACGAAGGACCCACATAGTGTGGTGGTGAACGCGTTAACACCCGGAAGGGGTAATAGCGCGTTCGTTTCCCACCGCAGACACCTGCGGTCTGGAGTTTTGTAAATATCTCAGCATCATAGAAGTTATATTTCGCAGCATACCCTGCTATTAAAAAGAATAGGCAGTAAATAAAAAGGTTAAGATTATGTCAGCATCATTGAAGTTAAATTCCCAAGTTATTTCTTTGGAATTTGAACTGACTTTCAAGCATTTATTTTTAGAACTCATGATATTTAACGATTCTGTTTCATGAAAACATCTACAATTTCTACGATTGGAAACTATCTTAAAAAACAACATAACCGTTTTCCAGTGAAAGAGATCGACGAGCGTTCATTATTACAGGACCAGTCACTATTTCATTTCTTTTCTTTCCAAACTCTCTTTTCAACACAGATCTTTCGGTGGAAAAACGAAGATCTGATGTTAAGTGACATACCGGTTGCGTAAGTCCCATTACAGTAACCCGTTTGAATATTTTTGAGTTGCATATCAGGCATTGTGATTTCAGGATTTCGATCCACCGGCAATAAATCGTTTTTTGACGACCAAACGAGACGAAGGACAGATTCTGGATAGGCGTCTGAAGACATAACGGTAAATTAATAAATCGATAACGACCATCTTTTGTTGACAGGTAAATCGATAGGTTCCTTTTTGAACACTTACAAGATACCAAAACGGTGGCGAGATATTCGCAAAACTTGAACCCCGGGCCAGATCGATCCACCATTAGCACTGGCAGATAGAAAAAGCGCCTCCGTAGCGCAATGTGTACTGCACGAGTTCCCGGAAAGAAAAATCGTGGTTTGATTTGGCCCGGGGTCCAAGTTTTGCGAATATCTCAGCATCGTTGTGGTTGATTTCGCATAACATCAGCCGTGAAAATTGTAATAGGCAGCAAATAAAAAAGCAAAACTTACAAGATAAAACCCGAAGCGGACACTGCTGAGAATCAAGAGGATATTTCCACAAATCCATATTGCATGAAACCACCTAGAAATTATTCATTACAAGCAGATTTTTGCCGCAGTTTTTCATATTTCTGTCTTAACTTGAAGTGTAAGACATAAACAAAAATTCCATAGCATGTAGCGACTTTTCTCACAGAGTTTCAAGAAGCATTTTATACTCGGAAAAAGACGAATATGAATGCGCTAATTCTGCAAATGGAGTGACGCCAGAGCTACACTTATAACAAAATAAAGGATAAAGCTCTCGGCGTTGATCAATCTCTGAGGGATGCGCCATGCGTTCGACTTCATTAAGCCTCTTTTGGAGGTGATTGAATGCGTATCTGGCCTTTACAATGACTCGTGGTGGCTTAACGATGCATCGAGCTAGTGCTGCTATCCTCCCAGACAAGTCTAGTACCAATTTGCCGAGCTCGAAGGGATGGAAGGCTTGGTGGCCCATGGGTGCGGGATCGATTGCACTGGTGTGGTGCATGATGCCTCCAACCACAGCCACATGCACCACACTTATGAAACAAGATTTATTCTTGATTCGCTAAAATTAGCTCATCATTAAATCTCCAGCAAAGGAAAGAACCATTAGCTATAAAGATGTTCTTGTGTGCAAAAAAGCCTACGATCGATATTCTGGTATCGTACCATACCCGTCCATCTGGATAAACCCACACGAGAAAGTTGTCGTCAGTGATTTCCTGAAATGAAGATTTTAAAACATGTTGGGGCTATCTTACTACCAAGATTAAATGATGGTTGGTGTAAAAATTGTTTTGCTATTCGTTTTGTGCTAGCTAACATAATAATAACTTCTGTGGGGTGGATTAACCGTAGAAAAGTAAACTATTATCAGCGGGTGTCATATCAACAACCGCGCTGTACATAAAAGCACTGCCAGGTGGGCATGCTTCATTCGTGCGGCGTTCACTGAAGAATATCCGTCTAGGTGCGAAAACGAAGACGCCACATCGAGAAAACGAACAGCTGTGGACCATCGGCTCTGATGAAGACGAAGACGTCGAAGTGTTAACCAAATAAAAGTTCTCTATCAACACTGTGTAAACTCGAAAATTTAAAGCAAAAATTTTAATTAATCTCACAGTGTTAATTTTTTATTTACTACCTACTACAGTTTTTCATGGCAGTGTATATATTATGTGGAACACAACCACAATGGTGCTGAAATATTTCCAAAACTTCGAACCGCAGATGCCTGTGGTGGGAAACGAACCCTTTCCGGCGATTAACGCGTTCACCACCACACCATGCGGGTCCTTCGTTTCTCCTGTCTCTCAGCTGGCTCTATCGATGAGTGCTATCAGCAATCACCTGTCAGCGGAATTAATCTGGGGAGCCCAAATCGGCAATGACTTTATCTGGTGTTTATCTGGTGGTGTTTACCAACATCCATCACAACAGAAATTCTTGGATCAGAACCGATACTTTTGTTTGCACGTGCCCGCCTACTTTCGCCGATTGTCGCGTAATATCGCATGCTGTCGCCGCGGCTGGTAATGCGACAGTCCAGCTTACCATTTACCATAACTTTTTTGACGCAACTAATTTCGAAATATTAATTATTAAAAGAAACAACTCCAACTTCAATTTTGTTAGTTATGTGTCAAATTCCGTCATTGTTTAACGGTGAATTAAGAGAAAAGTAAAAATGTAGATAGCAATAGCAGCAAAAACCATTTTGATTGCTTCGTTGAGATGGTTTGTTGTTTGCAGAATCTGATCGATAAAGAAAAATAGTATCCTTATTAAAAGTATTGGCCAAAAAAATCTATCACAGCTTTGTAAGCAAATCTGACTGTTTGACTAAGCTTTGGAGAAGCTTGGATACAAAGCTCTCTAGAAAACTAGCTGAAATAAACGCAGAACAAGGGTCTCCATTTCGCACCGTGTAATGCGCGATCCCCCACAAAGGGAAATTACGGTTCGATCTTCTGGCTTCGGGTCCAAGTTTTGCAAATATCTCTGCACTGTTTTGGTTGATTTCGCACAACACCCTGCCGTAAAAATTGTAGTAGGCAGTAAATAAAAAATAAAACTCTATTTTTGAGATAATCTAACCTAAATAGGGTGCTCGACAATCTATCCATTTCTTCAACTGCCCAATCACCCAATATTTTTTTGTTTTTACAGCACACTCATCTTGTGTAGTTTTTTTCTAGCATTGAAAACTTCTTAACAAAAAGTGCTTTTCTTCATATCACTAGGAATTATTTGTTTTATTGCATTCTTCATTTTCAGCCGGAAAATTCCTTTTTTCTATCCGCTTTTAAACGTTTATCTCCTGAAGTAAGCATTGTTTCACTTCATATTGATATCAGTGTCCATTATTTAGGCAATATTTTTCCAGGTAATTTCAGTAAGGTTAAGGTCATTTACGATCGTACCTGAAATGAAGCCGATTTGGCGTTGGCAAAATAGAGATCTGGATGCCACATTTCACGAAAAACCCGCTTGTCCTTCACCAATATCGGAGCGCTGTTGTTGTGCTCCAGTCGATGGTCATACCATTCCTAAATCTTACGGTAGTAAACACAAACGGTTACGCACTAGATGAAAACAATTAGACAGCAAATAAAAAGCACCCGAAACAATCTAAAACTAGACGGTGGACGCAAATTTCAATTTTCACCAATTTATTTGTTAATTACAGAATCTTAAGATGTAAAAATCGAGCTAGGGTGGTGTGAATTCAGAAAAAAAAATTGAGAAAATCGAGAGAAGATGGAGAGAGGCCATTGTCGCCAGTAGTAAAATAATGGACCTGAAGTGAAGCAAAACGATGGAAATGATCGATATATATATATATATATATGTATATATATTAATCGCATCTATCCAGTGAATTGCTTTCTAGTTCGAGAATGTTCTGCACCAAACAAAAGTGACGAACCTGTTGAAAGTACATGTCAAGATGGTAGTCCATGGTTTGAGCGCTGAATGACGACATACCTTCGATGAACATCGACAATGAAACGTTAGTCGGAATACCTGGAACACACCAACTACGTCGCTGAAAAGACGCCTTTATGCTTTTCTAATTTTAAGAGACTCCAAGAAAGCTTAATGTTATGCGTTAGGAAGAATATTCACATCATCATGTTCAGATATATATTCTGGATAGGAAGAAAAACTTGATACGATTTCGAGAAAATCCAAGCCTACTCACTCTGTGTGTGCGTGTATCTGTACCTGTGTGTATCGAGAAGTGTTCCTGGGTTAAATGCAATCTTCTAATCTACTTAGACAAATTGTAGTTGGTGTTGCATTATCCGCATATGTGATGTAACATCCATTTGTTGTACTCTATATTTGTCTATCAAAAAATAAGGGCTTACTTACCCAAGTCTAAGGGGCGCACTAGTAAGCTGGCAATCGAATGATTAACACCTGCGTAACAAATAATAAGCAAATGCAGGCAGATATAAGCGACCAGCTCATTATCTTGGATCAAATCGTTCAATGGAAAAAGCCATCAGCGGTACTACGATTCGGAACCCGAGGGCCTGTTCATCGGGCAACTACATCCTACAGTTCCACAGCAGTACCACTACGGAGCAGTTTTGATTTTTCGGCTCCAAGTGGGAGCTCATCATACATTAGAGTGTGCCACCTATACATATCACAGAACTTCCATTTAGTCGACACGACGAGAGATCCACCCTCATGAAACGAGTACACACGCAGCAATGACAAAACAACTGACCATTCGTTAGGCTACTCTACCGTTTTATTGATTTTATGAGCAAACAAATCTACCATTGAACTGCGACAATATTTCTGGCTCGTCGCCTTCTACAACACCTCTGCTGCATTTTCCACAGCACTTTTTGTCCGCTTGTATCATTGTGTGAGGATGTGGGTGTGTGCGTGTGCGTGTATATATGTGCATGAATGCATATATGTACCCAAGGGTGTGTGTATTAGTGGAGGTCCTCGATTATCTAAGCGATGTAGGGCACAATAGACGAATGGTTTCCACCAGTGGCGATGAGAAACTTATTGTCAAGTTCTCTTCCGTTTGACGAAACCTTTAGTGCGAAACAGCTGAGAAATACCAAATACGCCAGTAAAAAATTCATAACATCGATTGTAGTAGTACAACCGTTGATAATCTCAGTGTTCGGCTCCTATGTGCTCCACATTCATCCAGGGTCAATGGTTAAGTTCTTGGCGCCTCTCGCTGAATCGCTGAAGTATGGTGTAGCGGTGAAACAGTTTTACATGAAAAGCTGATCAATATGAATTTCTTCAATGTCTACTTGACATCACCGAAAGCCTTTTAAGCTTCTAGTTCAGCAAGTGAATATAAGCCAAGAGGACTGTTTGCTGTTGGAGCAGATTTTTTTCAATGTTACGACCTATTGGTGCAAAAAAAGAGAAGAAGAGGAAGTTCATGCGTCTTCAGAATAAATGAAAACCGATATGATTCGATAACGTCAACCCTTCAAATTCTACAAATCTCTTGACTTTCTATAGAGCAAACAAACAATCTGAAACGCTCACACAAGAAGGAAAGGATGATAAAAATGAATCATCGGCAATACAACGTCTATCGTAAGCTAGCAATGAAAAGTTAAAGTGTAAGTGATAATGACCATGCTGAAGTAGTAAGTAGTTCTGACAGTATGAAAAAAAACTCAAGGCAAAACAATGAAAAACGAAAGTCTGACAGACTAAAAACATTCTCAAATTACCTGACCCATGTTCGCGGACGTAATCTAAAATGAAAAAAAAAGCATCAGAATTTAACATATGCTTCCATTGATGATGAATTGTGATGGTAACCGAACAACTTTGACACTTTGACACTTTGACACTTTAATGGCCCATCCACACAGGCTGTGCAGGCCCCATCATAATCTCCATTTTTTCGGAGTTTTGCTGATTTAGCCATTATGGTACCCTGAAGCCCCGAGCTCAGCCTGCCAAAGTCTGCCCCAGGTCGTCACGAGCACAGGCGGCCCCCGCCTTTGTGGATCAGAGCGAGATTTTCCACCATGTCACTAGTTTGATAACGGGACGGTGGGAGATCCTGGTATTGGTTTACTCTTAGCCAGAGTTCCTGATGGAAAAGCCGGACGCCTCAGTTTGGGAGACCCTGCGGGGAAGACGAATCCCACCGTCGTACATCGTAGTCCGACATCAAGGAACATCTCCCAACCTCGATGAGGCGGTAAACCGTTAGGTGGAACTGAACATCAACATTCCTGGATACTTTTCTCAGCTGTACAAATATTCTTTTATTAAACTAGTTACTAGAAGGCAGCGACTGGTTCATTTATAGAAAATTCTAGCAGCATAAAATATTTTCGACTTTTGAAAACTGTTAAGTGAGTTTCTCTCTTCGTCGTAGACCCTTCACAACGTTCAGATTAAAAGACATAAGCATTAAATACTATTCGCAACACTTAATGAAAGAATAAGTCTTCTGGATTTTGCTCAGTTTTCGAAGACTCGATTGATTGATGGTGTCCATATTGATTAGGTACCAAATGTACACGGTAGAAATCCAAAAAAGTTCTTCTGCTATATAAAGTAGAAGTTCAATGCGGTGGATGATCCCTTATTTCGAATATGGTGCACGACTTTACATCAGCCACCGATAGGTGTTCGAGGGCAGTTATTTTTTCCTTTATTATTGCATGACCCAACATGCATCATACTGTTCCCAGCACTTCTTGTATTCGTTTCCTCGTATCCATCATCTATTGAGGTCTTCGAGATTTTTTTCTGTGTGCGGTTTTGGCTGCTGCTAGAGGATATCCGTGTTCATTTACTAATGGTCAAGTTGATTTTGCCTGTAATCTCGTTATAACCTCTCTAGGAAATTTCTGTGTGAGGTAGAATGGGTTAGCTTATCCCAGACAAGTTTGGCAGCAATTTCGGAACTCCAATGAGATGAGAGGCTACGTGTGCCCGAAGCGATGTCGAACTAGGTTCTGTGTAGATCGTCCATGTAATTAAAGGCGCTACTATCTCTAAACCGACTTTCTCTAAGCCTCGGTGTGACTAATCAATATGTATTCTTTCTTGATAAGCTTGCATGAGGTTGATAAATATATTTATTTTCGGCTAACGTTTCGACGTCTTCGT